AATTTAAAGGCAACGCTACCAAATACTAATTGAGTGTATGTAAACTTCTGACCCACTGGGAATGCAATGAAAGAAATAAAAGCTGAAATAAATCACTCTACTATTATTCTGACATTTTAAAATAAAGTGGTTATCCTAACTGACCTAAAACAGGGAATTTTTACTAGGATTAAATGTCAGGAAATGTGAAATACTGAGTTTAAATGTATTTGGCTAAGGTGTATGTAAACTTCCGACTTCAACTGTATATACATATACACACACACGGTCAAAAGTTTTAGAACACCTACTCATTCAAGGGTTTTTCTTTATTTATACTATTTTCTACATTGTAGAATAATAGTGAAGACATCAAAACTATGAAATAACACATATGGAATCATCATGGTGGTCCTCTGTAGCTCAGCTGGTAGAGCACGGCGCTTGTAACGCCAAGATAGTGGGTTCGATCCCCGGGACCACCCATACACAAAAATGTATGCACGCATGACTGTAAGTCGCTTTGGATAAAAGCGTCTGCTAAATTGCATTAATAATAATTAATTAATTAATTAATTAATTAATAATAATTAATTAATTAATAATGTAGTAACCAAAAAAGTGTTACACAAAACAAAATATACTTTATTCTTCAAATAGCCACCCTTTGCCTTGATGACAGCTCTGCACACTCTTGGTATTCTCTCAACCAGCTTCCTGAGGTAGTCACCTGAAATGCATTTCAATTAACTGGTTTGCCTTCTAAAAAGTTAATTTGTGTAATTTCTTTCCTTCTTAATGCGTTTGAGCCAATCAGTTGTGTTGTGGCAAGGTAGGGTGACCCGATCCTGTAGGTTCATGCTCTACAACATTCGCAGAGTACGACCCTACCTTACACAGGAAGCGGTACAGGTCCTAATCCAGGCACTTGTCATCTCCCGTCTGGATTACTGCAACTCGCTGTTGGCTGGGCTCCCTGCCTGTGCCATTAAACCCCCACAACTCATCCAGAATGCTGCAGCCCGTCTGGTGTTCAACCTTCCCAAGTTCTCTCACGTCACCCCGCTCCTCCGCACACACTCCACTGGCTTCCAGTTGAAGCCCGCATCTGCTACAAGACCATGGTGCTTGCCTACGGAGCAGTGAGGGGAACGGCACCTCCGTCCCTTCAGGCTCTGATCAGTCCCTACACCCAAACAAGGGCATTGCGTTCATCCACCTCTGGCCTGCTGGCCCCCCTACCTCTGCGGAAGCACAGTTCCCGCTCAGCCCAGTCAAAACTGTTCGCTGCTCTGGCACCCCAATGGTGGAACAAGCTCCCTCACGACGCCAGGACAGCGGAGTCACTCACCACCTTCCGGAGACACTTGAAACCCCACCTCTTCAAGGAATACCTGGGATAGGATAAAAGTAATCCTTCTACCCTCCCCCCAAATTTGTTTTGATATATTGTAAAGTGGTTGTCCCACTGGCTATCATAAGGTGAATGCACCAATTTGTAAGTCGCTCTGGATAAGAGCGTCTGCTAAATGACGAAAATGTAAAATGTAACGTAGGGGGGTATACAGAAGATGGCTCTATTTGGTAAAAGACCAAGTCCATATTATGACAAGAACAGCTCAAATAAGCGAAGAGAAACGACAGTCCATCATTACTTTAAGACATGAAGGTCAGTAAATACGGACAATTTCAAGAACTTTGAACATTTCTTCAAGTGCAGTCGCAAAAACCATCAAGCACTATGATGAAACTGGGTCTCATGAGGACCGCCACAGGAATGGAAGACCAAGAGTTACCTCTGCTGCAGAGGATAAGTTCATTAGAGTTACCAGCCTCAGAAATTGCAGCCCAAATAAATTCTTCACAGAGTTTAAGTAACAGACACATCTCAACATCAACTGTTCAGAGGAGACTGTGTGAATCAGGCCTTCATGGTCAAATTGCTGCAAAGAAACTACTACTAAAAAGGACACCAATAAAACGACGAGAATTGCTTGGGCCAAGAAACACGAGCAATGGACATTAGACCAGTGGAAATTTGTCCTTTGGTCTGGAGTCCAAATTTGAGATTTTTGTTTCCGTCCAAATTGTCGATTTTTGGTTCCAACCGCCGTGTCTGGGCTTAGTGGGACTATAGTTTGTTTTTCAAAATATATTTTGATTTGTTTAACACTTTTTTTGTTACTACATGATTCCATATGTATTATATCATAGTTTTGATGTCTTCACTATTATTCTACAATGTAGAAAATAGTAAAAATAAAGAAAAAACCCTTGAATGAGTAGGTGTTCTAAAACTTTTGACCGGTACTGTATGTATGTATGTATGTATGTATGTATGTATGTATGTATGTATGTATGTATGTATGTATGTACAGTGAGGGAAAAAAGTATTTGATCCCCTGCTGATTTTGTACGTTTGTCCACTGACAAAGAAATGATCAGTCTATAATTTGAATGGTAGGTTTATTTGAACAGTGAGAGACAGAATAACAACAACAAAATCCAGAAAAACGCATGTCAAAAATGTTATAAATTGATTTGCATTTTAAAATGAGGGAAATAAGTATTTGACCCACTCTCAATCAGAAAGATGTCTGGCTCCCAGGTGTCTTTTATACAGGTAACGAGCTGAGATTAGGAGCACACTCTTAAAGGGAGTGCTCCTAATCTCAGTTTGTTACCCGTATAAAAGAGTCCTGTCCACAGAAGCAATCAATTAATCAGATTCCAAACTCTCCACCATGGCCAAGACCAAAGAGCTCTCCAAGAATGTCAGGGACAAGATTGTAGACCTACACAAGGCTGGAATGGGCTACAAGACCATCGCCAAGCTGCTTGGTGAGAAGGTGACAACAGTTGGTGCGATTATTCGCAAATGGAAGAAACAAAAGAACTGTCAATCTCCCTCGGCCTGGGGCTCCATGCAAGATCTCACCTCGTGGAGTTGCAATGATCATGAGAACGGTGAGGAATCAGCCCAGAACTACACGGGAGGATCTTGTCAATGATTTCAAGGCAGCTGGGACCATAGTCACCAAGAAAACAATTGGTAACACACTACGCCGTGAAGGACTAAAATCCTGCAGCACCCGCAAGGTCCCCCTGCTCAAGAAAGCACATATACATGGCCGTCTGAAGTGAACTGGGTGAAAGTGTTGTGGTCAGATGAGACCAAAATCGAGCTCTTTGGCATCAACTCAACTCACCGTGTTTGGAGGAGGAGGAATACTGCCTATGACCCCAAGAACACCATCCCCCACCGTCAAACATGGAGGTGGAAACATTATGCTTTGGGGGTGTTTTTCTGCTAACGGGGACAGGACATCTTCACCGCATCAAAGGGACGATGGACGGCGCCATGTACCGTCAAATCTTGGGTGAGAACCTCCTTCCCTCAGCCAGGGCATTGAAAATGGGTCGTGGATGGGTATTCCAGCATGACAATGACCCAAAACACACGGCCAAGGCAACAAAGGAGTGGCTCAAGAAGAAGCACATTAAGGTCCTGAAGTGGCCTAGCCAGTCTCCAGACCTTAATCCCATAGAAAATCTGTGGAGGGAGCTGAAGGTTAGAGTTGCCAAACGTCAGCCTCAAAACCTTAATGACTTGGAGAAGATCTGCAAATAAGAGTGGAACAAAATCCCTCCTGAGATGTGTGCAAACCTGGTGGCCAACTACAAGAAACGTCTGACCTCTGTGATTGCCAACAAGGGTTTTGCCACCAAGTACTAAGTAATGTTTTGCAGAGGGGTCAAATACTTATTTCCCTCATTAAAATGCAAATCAATTTATAACATTTTTGACATGCGTTTTTATGGATTTTTTTGTTGTTATTCTGTCTCTCACTGTTCAAATAAACCTACCATTAAAATTATAGATGATCATTTCTTTGTCAGTGGGCAAACGTACAAAATCAGCAGGGGATCAAATACTTTTTTCCCTCACTGTATGTGTGTGTGTGTATATATATACATACATACATACATACATATACACACACACACATACACATAATATAATCTTTGAGAACTAAAAATCACCAAATTAAAGCTAGACAGTCAGGGAGAATTGAAAAATTCCCAAAACAATTAATTTAGCAGTATAGTTAAAACACAGCTTTAGACTTCGTCAAACGCATAGAATTGTAGGAAAGTAGCTTTAAAACTGCAAGAAGTTCTCTCAGCTCCATGGAAAAATTTGTAGAATTGCAGGAAATTGGCTTAAAGATGCTAAGAAGATTGACCACAAAGATTGCCATTTGCCCATTCGCTAAAATGGGGGATCCTGTTTTCTGCAAACAATGCCTGCAGTACCGTAGTCAGCCTTGAACTTCGTGGCTTCAATGACAGGGGCAGTCGTTCTCCCATGTGCTGCACCCACACAGGGACATCACATACAGCTTTCCTGTTTCATTAAATCCCAGGTAGCTCTCATGCTCACTCTCACTTCCCCCCTCTCATTCTCCATCCACCCCCAGTCTCTCCTTCTCTCTCCCTGACCCGTTTCTCCCTCTAACCCTTTCTCTCTACTCAGTGTCCCCTCCTGCCAGTAGCTGGGTCTAGTCCAGAGGGCTCAGTCCCAGGTCCATCTGTGATGTGAGGGGGACTAGTAATTAGCTAGTACCAGCTGCTATGCTGTGGGGCTGGCTGCCCAGGCTGAGGTGGGGCTAACCCTGGCCAGGGGTCAATGCAAGGCTAGCTGGGTCAAAGAAGAGGTCAGGGGTCACAGGCTAGGCCAACGCTGTGGGAGTCAGTCCCACACATCTCCTGAATTATTCAAGCACCCGTCTATTTTTAAATAGGCCTAGATGGGCTGTTTTAGTGGGCTACTGGTAACATTTAGTTGTTGAACAGAAATGTAATGGTACTTCCTATAATTTCTTTGCCTGTACATTTTGTGTGTGTCTAACTATAGGTTCGGAACATGCTTTGGAGTTTCATTTTCCCTATTACACATCTATTACAGTTAAAACTCCAGTGTTAGTTGCTGTTATTTTTTTATAAGCAGCAGCACTGACCTCCTGTCCAGACTTGGCAGAGTTCTCTGCAGATGAGTGCAGGGACTCGATCTCCCCCTCGATCATGGCCGCCTCCAGACACTCATGCAGGTCCTTAAAGCCGTTCACCTGCAGCGGGTACTGCCCAAACATCTCGGTGTTCTCAAACTTCTTTCCTGTGAGGAAAGGGAGCAGAAGCACAGAAATGTAAACAACATTTGTACACCAACACACGCATTCCTCACACCCACACATAACCACAGTTGGGGCCTCATTACCAACAACTAACTGAAAAAGCACTGGGATTTGGTAGAGGCAGTTGTGCCCTATTATGCAGTACTATTCCTCAGAGGTGCGGCCCTAGCCTGTGTGTGTGTGTGTGTGTGTACCATATGGCGAGGCCAGGGAGGAAGTGGGTCAAGTGTGTGTGAGAGAAGACCCATTTCACACTAATTTACAGCCAGGCTGAGTTCAGCATCAGTCATCATAGCCAGGCCTAAATTCAAATATGCTTTTTTGGATTGAGCCTATTCGGTATGCCAGATGGGCAGGTTTTATACTTTCTAGGACTTTATCATTGGTTCCATTGAGCCAGGCAAGCTCAATGAAAATCAGAAAACAAGTAGTACTTGAACCCAGGTGGCGATCACATCCACTAATTGACTGTAAATACAGCACAGCCTGCTGCCCTGCAGAGCCTTAAGGCTGCTGCATGCTTCAGTTCGGCTGGCACCTAGCCAAACTTGGCTAAGCGAACCGAACGAGTGTGCTCGCATAACTTCGACCTTCGCTTGAAAAAAGCGGCAATAGTACGGTTTGCCCATCTTGAGATGCCTTAGCCAGTATACACTTCCTCAAAATAGTCAGAATGAATCTAAAATAACTCAAGAAATCTGTCATAAATGTTTACGTTTTGGCCGATGAGATCTTAGTCGCACAGTTTTACATCTAACTAGGATTTGTGGAGCAGTATTTCTCAAGTCAAGAAATGTGCATGAAAACTAGTCGTCTATAGCTGAATGACAAACACTTCATTGAAGATTCCCTACTGTTGACCAATCACCAACAAAGAGGCTTAGACTTCAGCTTCTGAACTTCGGTTTGCCTCAAGAAAAAAATGTGCGCACACATCATAATCACAATATATGCACGAACTGTTCCGGATGGGAAGCATGCGGACGCCTTTAGCCAACCCACTGCACTGACTACAGCAGCTGAGTACTGACTGACAACAACAAAAAACACATCCTAGAGAGGGGAAGTTAGCGGACATGCAAATGTGGCATTAAGGTCATTTAAGAAGGAGCAGAAGCTGCCTTGCTGGCCCAGCTTTGTGTCTGGCGGCTCTGGGCCAGTATTGTCATGCATAATAAGCAAAATTCCAATCAGACGTCAAGGTCCTCCAGGATCAATGCTCTGCAGCCATGTGCTTTTACATGTGCCACATCTCATTAAAACAAGGTCACCTTTCATTACCAGGGGCAAGGACTCTCCCTCCCTCTCCTTGCTGCTACTTCGAAGCAGGGAACTGACGGCTGAGCCTTATCTCTCTCCCGTCACCTCTTCTCCTACCCAGGGTCGTTCTAACATGCTTGCTTCCCTCTCTTACCTTCTAGAACACCAACAGCCAGGAACCGGCCGTAGAACAGCTCCACCATCGGGTTTTTGGGCTTCTCACCCTCTCTGGGAACGGAAAGAGATCAGAGTCAAAACACACACATTCATTGGGGTGAGTCACAGTGTGCGCACATACACAACGGGTAGAAGAGGACGCTTTAGCCTCTAAGCCATGTGAATAATGCTCCTAGCCTCTTTTTTACATGGACCTTCAAAAAATGCTTACTAAATTCACTACGATACATATACTGTATGGAAACACAGAGAAGGCATGATGTGTCCAGTCTCCTAGGGGGATGAATCACACCGTTTGTGTGTGTGTGTTGACGTTAGCAAGGCGTGTTGTCGTACCTGTCCTCCTCTGCCTTCATCTGGAAAGCATCCTCCAGCCAGTCCAGCAGCTTGTGTGTGAACTCACTAACATCCTGCTGTTCAGGCAACACACAGCGAAACAGACCAATTACAACACTACTTACAGGCAGCAGACAGATCAATTAGAACGTTGCTTTCACTGTAGAATTGAAGACCTAGATCTCAGACCTACAGAACATAACCAAGATTTAAAACATGGAAAGGAGGTTAAGTGGGCTTATACTGAGGGACTTGGTAATTGTTGAGGTAGATTTGTATACACCAGTGTCAGGTCAAATGTAATTGTTAGGCTTCAAAAGCAACCATTAGGCCCAGAGGGTGGCTTACAGAAGTCAGTTGTGCCCTCTAATTGGGGTCAACCAGAGTAGAGTGGACTATGGCCATGACTAATGAGTACAGTGGTCAGACGGCCGACCTCGCAGGACCTTAACAGAAATGGTGGGGGGGGGGGCAGGGACTCTGCTGTCCTAGAATCATGGGGAAGCTGGTTCCCCCATTGGGGTGCCAGGACAGAGAAAAGCTTTGACTTACTTCCCGTAGGGGTGGGACGGCCAAGAGACCAGAGGTGGCAGAACGGAGTGCTCTGGTTGGGATGTAGGTTTTGAGTATAGCCTGAAGGTAGGGAGGGGCAGTTCCCCTTGCTGCTCCGCAGGCAAGCACACCATGCTCTTGTAGTGCAGGGTTTCCCAAACGTTAAGAATCATTTTGAATTTGTATTTCCACTCTGCTGTTTGCTTGCTTTTTTGGGGGGTCTAGACCGGACTAATGTAAAGCCCTTTGTGATAACTGTTGTAAAAAGGGCTTTATAAGTACATTTCATGGACAGATCGATTGGTTTACCTTAGCAGGTTTTACAGAGTGATAGCTAGGATGTTTACCTGCTGAGACTCGCTGGACTTGAAGGCGTCCTTGAGGATCTCCACGGCACACGACGGGTCCACGTACTTCCTCTTAGAACCCACCATGAGGGAGAACAGATTCCTAAGCTCCTGCATGAAGGGCAGGTTTCTGTGCTCCTACGGAACGACAACCGGGAACCACACACACACACACACACAGGGACATTAGTTATCATGACAACCCGCCTTCTAGAGCAAGGGAATACGGGTTTCCAAATCTCTGTCAAATTCCAGGGTTTTTATGTCAACCATCTTTCAGACCATGGTGACTGAATTAAGAAGTAATACTATAATACCCATTATAATTTTTTCAAATTCTATGCTTTATGATGGTGGTGGTGTGCCCATCAATATATGAAAGAGGAGTATTTCCCCAGTTTATGCAAGGGAATGTGCTTTTCTATTGGAGCCTAGTAATGCTGCGCTGACCCAGTAAATCTGTGAGCTGGAGCTGGCGTGAGATGTGATAACCAGAGGGAGTCCTCCACTGCTCTACATACAGCAGGACTGGCTGGCTGCACCACAACTACTACCAATGAATGAATAAGTTCTAAATTACACATCAAGCCTATGGTGCGTGTTGAGAACACAGAGGACTCATTGCTCAAGCCCATATCTGTGACAAAAAGAAATGGACACTTATGTGACACCGGCAAAGGAAAAGCCTTACTTCGAAGTCGAGCGTCATTGACAAACAGAGCAATTAAAAGAAAACCTTGCATTAGTGCCCTCTTTGTGCGCGATTAGAGCCTAAGCCCTAGAAGTGTCCCTCCTCCGTTGGTTCAGGAGTGGGTCAGTGATATTAGGCAGAGGGACTAGAGACTAAGACCCCAAGATGACTGGCGCAACATAGCAACAGCAGCAGAGGCTTAGCCCAGATTAGCGGATGTGCGCTACCCACAAACCATGGGAAGCGGTTGGGAGAAACATGCTGTGCAGCAGTGTATCCTCTGGAAAAATGTGTAGCAGTGGGGGGAATGGGTCGCGGAGGGGGTTGAAGGGGGGAGGGGGGTCCCTCCTATAATTCTTATCTAGAAGGACTGAGGAGCTCAGTTCTGGTGACTTTTTAAAAGGACATTCTACTCCAAAATGAATGAAAATAAGTATGCTGACATCATCTAAAATAGAATTTCACCTCCAGAAATTAACCCAATAACACATTGCTAAAATGATTAACATATTGGGCCATGTACAATATATAGCCTATGCATGGTCCATATTATCAGATATGCTATTAGCAATAAACATTATAACCTTTAGCCCAACTGATGCAGCAAAGTGCAAATAAATAGGCTGAAGCATGGGGTTGCCTATCTGCATTTACCCTATTGGGCTAATCATTAGCCATCTCAAATGTGATCTTTTAACTAGTTATTATCATATTGATGAATTTTATGTCCCAAAAAAACTTGCATAAACACTGAATATAATGTAGGCCTACCTGTTAGGGTAACTCGCCACACTTTTTTAAGTCATTCTAAATAAATTATTTTATCCCCCTACAATTGACCGGTGTTACATTTAGCCCCACTCTCTCCTATGCACTCACTGCAAATTGCAGCTCGGTAACATGCTAAAAACCCTGGGTTTAAAATGGCGCAATTCGCGCATATTTAGGAGTGGAGAAATAAATAAAGTAGGAATGGAAAGCTGGGATTCCCCTCTTTTTAACAAAAGCCATTAAAACTCCTGTTTTTACGATTGCAAGAATTGTTGTGCATAGTCAGAATGCATGTTTCTCTCCCTATGGCGCTTATAACATGAATGCGCCACGAGAGGAATATTTATCTAGCATAGAACACAATAAGCCTACTAGGTAAAAATGTAAACTTTTCTACTATGGGGTTGTTAGATTTTTCTATTATTTACTCGTTTTGTTTGCAGATGAAAAGTAGATGTGGAATGTTCTAGCATCTTCAAAATGCGCCTCAGCGTGGCGGGAATGATTTTGCAGTGGCGCAGCACCACAGCAAAATGAGTGCAGTGGAAACACTGCTGTGCAGACAACAAGGGGGGGGGGGCTGAGCTGGTGTGAGTCACGGGTTATGGTCACTGTTGGGTGTGTCAGAGAGGGAACAGCTAGGGCTACAGCGTGCTTCATCAAATCCTCTCCATCCATCCTCCCTGTGGCTGGGTCTAGAGCAGGGGTGTCAAACGTACGGCCCGCGGGCCAGATCAGGCCCGCAAACGGGTTTAATCCGGCCCGCGAGATGATAAAAAAAATAAATAAAAAATAATAATAATTGTAAAGTATAAAAATGCGCTGCAATTTTTCAATAAAATAAACTGCTGTTCCAATTGCGTCCACTGGATGGCGCAATAGCAATTGTGTTAAGCAAGCAAACTGTTTATACCGGGGCAGAGCAAGTAGGTCAAGCACGTGCAGCCAATGAGCTACTTTGTTTTGCCCGCGATATTTATTACGGCTTCTACTTTTAACATTATGTGCTTTGGAACCCTCATTGCCCCAATATGTCTCTGTCAAAAAATAGAAAAGTGGACGCAGAGTGCAGAGTGTTCCAAGAAAAATTGTCATCCTATTTAATCACGGAATTGAATGGGAAAGCTGTATGTTTGGTGTGTTCAGAGCATGTTGCAGTGCTGAAAGAATATAACCTTCGTCGCCACTATGTGAGTCTTCATGCCGACAAATATGACAACTTTCAAGGACAGTGGAGATGAGAGAAGGTGAATGAACTGTTGGCGGGTCTGAAGAAACAGCAGTCTGTGTTTACTCACAGCCGAGACATCAGTGACGCTGCAGTGAAAGATAGCTACCTCATTGCTAATGAAATCGCAGTGGCTTCAAAACCATTTAGTGAGGGTGAATTTGTAAAAACATGCATGATGAAGGCAGCGGAGATTGTGTGCCCTGAAAAGCGGCAGTCTTTTGCAAATATCAGCCTGACAAGAAACACAGTTGCAATCTGCAAATGGAGGATGTGATTTTTTGACTTTTCACTGTATTTTGCACCAGGAGGCTTTGTGTTGCAAGTCATTAAAGATGGATAACGTCATGAAGGTGGTCATCCAAACTGTTAATTTCATCCGATCCAGAAGCCTGAATCACCGTCAGTTTGACAGCCTTCTCAGAGAGAAAGACCACATCTATGGCCTGCCATACCACACTGAGGTAAGATGGTTAAGCCGAGGTGCTGTGCTGAGGCGTTTCTTTGATTTACGAGAAGAAATTGAACAGTTCATGGAAGAAAAGGGCAAACCAGTGTTAGAATTTCATTCCGCAGAATGGATGCCGGACCTTGCATTTATGGTGGATGTTACAGAGCACCTGAATAACTTGAACAAACAGCTGCAAGGGCACAACAAAGTTGTCACGCAGTATTATGACAGCATACGTTCTTTCAAGTTGAAGCTGTCATTGTGGGAGACGCAACTTGCCGGTGGTGATGCAGCTCACTTCCCCTGTCTGAAAAATGTGTGCGCGACCCAACATGTGGCAGACATGAAGCGGTTCAAAGATAAAATAACGGGACTGTTACGGGAGTTTGAGCAACGCTTTCAGATTTATGTTTATATGTTTTTATGTTGATGTGCTATTGTTTTTAATTGATTTTATTTGTATATTTAACCTATTCTTGACTCTGTGGTTCTTGCACTTGTTTGGTGAACAGGATTTCATTCTTTTTATCTACATTTCTGCCTGAGAAATGACACCCTGATATAGTTATGTGATCTGTGAAACAGTTCTGTTAATCACTGAGGCATTGTGTGTTTGTGTGTTTTTTGTCCTCAGAACTTTCAAATAACTTGAGGTGTTTTATGATTAATAATGATGTTGTGCTTTTGGACACTGTCCTCAGGCTCCAGCTTTATGTTTATATGTTGATGTGCTATTGTTTTTAATTGTTTTTATTTTATTTGTATATTTAACCTATTCTTGACTCTGTGGTTCTTGCACTTGTTTGGGGAACAGGATTTCATTATTTTTATCTACATTTCTGCCTGAGAAATGACACCCTGATATAGTTCTGTGATCTGTGAAACAGTTCTGTTAATCACTGAGGCATTGTGTGTTTGTGTGTTCTTTTTCTTTAGAATTTTCAAATAAACTTGACGTGTTTTATGATTAATAGTGATGTTGTGCTTGTACTATTTTGGACACACTGTCCTCAGGCTCCAGCTTTATGTTGTATGTTGATCGTATTAAAACAAAGAAAACAATCTGAAGTTGTTGTTTTTAAGTTATATATACCATGATTTTTCCGGTCCGGCCCACTTGGGAATAGATTTTCCTCCATGTGGCCCCTGAGCTAAAATGAGTTTGACACCCCTGGTCTAGAGGTAGTGAATCAACTGGGCAGTCAGTGGGCAGTGTGAACCACTGGAACCTGAGGCAAGATCAGCTCACACTGCAACCAAATAGAGCTGTTGCTCAGTGAGGGCATTGATTTACAACCCAGAAGGTCGAGTCTCTCATCACAGGGCCAGGACCTCAGTGCCAGAGCCCAGCTCAGAGGCTAACAGGAGGGATAGCTGTCCAGCTGAGGAGCCATGGGTCTCAAAGGACACAAGTCTAGTACTCGGGGGAGAGAGCTAACCGGACCTTTCCCTGGCTGTCGCCTATAAGGTTTAACCTGTGTTCCAGTGCCACTATCTCTGCAACATATTGGTCAGGGGTTTTTGGGCCTAAGCCTCACTGCTGAGTGTTGATATGGGTTGTTTGGGTGGGTGGTGGTGGTTCACCTTCTGGTTGCGAGGAAGGTCCTGGACTCTGGCAGGAGGAGAATAGTGCAGCACCAGCCTCTGGAACTCCAGCAGGTTGAACAGGGACTGGAAACAAGCAGACAAAGAGAAAATAGTCAGTTTTACTGAGTGACATTCATTTAGCTTTCAACCAGCATTAAACATTTTTGCAATATCAAAAGAGATCATGGAAGTTCCTATATAGTGAGGTGGTCAACATCGGTTTTTACTATGGATGTTATCACCCTGTTACTGCTAGCTGTTGAAATGCTGTATTGGTATGATAAATTACAAAAGGATGTTAGCGGAGTGATGTGACCAAGTTTGAAGTTACAAACCAAACTTCCAATCCTTTTGATAAAAGGATTAAATAATTAGGAAATAAGTAAGATTAGTGGAGTTATCACTTCATTTCATCATCTGATTTCAGTAAATCTCTAATTCTGGGAACAGAAGGAGCTGAAACGTGTGACTGTGCTGTCTCCTTTAAGAGTCCCATTACACATAGGGGCAGGGACCATGTGAAGCTGTATCCAGTACTCATCCAGCATATTTCTGCTCACTTTGCCCTCTACCAGGGGATCTTTAGAGTAACAACATAATCCATACCTTATGACAGGCAGGGCTGGAAAGAGCTCTAGTACACTAATGTAATTGTAAATAGAGGGTCTATATCTAATGAATAACATTGATATAGGATGCTTTGCGTTGTATGAAGGGTGTGTGTTTGTGTTGTGTCTCCACCTGGATGACGGCACTGAACCAGCAGGTGTTGCCCACGTTCTTGAGACCCACAGGGCAGTTCTCCATTCTCTTCCTGTCATGGGGATTGGGCGAGTCACTCCACACTTCCGTGTGTGTCCGCTTCAGGCTTGCCTTGTTCTCTGCTATACTGGCCTCCAGAACTCTGCAAAGAGTACAACACAACCAGTCTAAAAATACCCCCACTTTAATCAAATAACATTTATTATGTGCAAAACCCCAACAAAGCATAATGTTGACATTTAGCAACTCTACAAAACAAAGATAAGCAAATCTGCACAGTGCCTTGTTCAATCTGATTCGAATGCGCATAATGTTGACCTTTCACCATTCAAACAAACATTCCAACTCCCAGTATGCTCCTCCTCTCCGCTCAGCCCAGCCAATAGCATGGTGGTGGTGTTGAGCCCAGTCTACCTGCTGATGGCCTGCTCCTCGTCGGTGATGCCCGTCTCCCTGAAGGCCCGGCTGGACTCCTCCAGGCTGAGAGCGATGGCCCTCTGGAGGTCATCCTTGTCATCGCCTGTCAGGTCAATAACATCTGAAACAACACACGCGTAGTCCTTTAATACATACATCAAATCAAATTGTATTTGTCACATGTGCCGAATACAACAGGTGTAGACCTTACAGTGAAATGCTTACTTACAAGCCCTTAACCAACAATGCAGATGACACGTGTCATAATTCTATGCTGAAATTGAGTTAAGTACACAGATTACAAGTTAAGATTCAGGCCTTACTGACTTTATAATCCCTCTCACATAAGTGTCAGGGGAAAGGGCAAACCGACCATATCCTTTTTATCACAGCGTAAAACGACACAAAGGGAAGAGGAGAGCTTAGTAGTGTACAGTAGCTTTTAATATTAGAAAAGCCTATAAAAAGACAAAAGGTTAGTCATCATCAGAGTAGTAAATGGAGCAACATGGTTTTCCCCTCCCTCCAGACTACTCTATACTCCATAAACTGGGTTAGCTAGGTTGTTTTCCTTATTTGACATGTATCCAAGGAAGCGTGTAAGTTCATTAAATCAGGCCACTCATGCATTAAAGTCAAAGGGGCGTGTCAGGATATATGACCTTCTCCGGTGTTCCTGAACAGAAAAGGATATGCCTCTGCAGGACTTCTCGTACCCATCTCAGAAAATTCCCCAGAGATGACACCATGTAATTTCAACAAAATAACCCCCTGTCTTGCATGAGAGCCAGGAGGCATCCTGCTAACAGCCATCCCACTCAGACCTTCATGCAATGTTAACTGCTCACTTAGAGCTTCAATACCAAAATGAATGGGAACGATTGGCAAAATATGATAGAAATGGAATCAGGGGAGACAGTAGTGTTAATCATTCACATACAGTATATTCAGGATTGAGGCCTACAGATTTTTTCTTATGCATACACATGAGATGAGGTAGGTAGTGGTACTCACTAGTATCTCCCTGGCTAGGGCCTGCCCCAGGCAGTGCTGGGTGAGGTAGGTACTCACTGGTGTCTGCCTGGCTGCCAACGCTGATGTATCTGTCGTTGCCCACCTGGGTGGTTTGGTAGTAGGTGTCCTCATCCTGCTGGGGCACCTTGGCGTTCTTCTCCGTCAGAAAGGCCACCGCTTCCGCCAGGTCTCCATGACTGACCTGCAGGGACAGCAGTGTTAGAGCTAGACAGTCAGAGACTGGTTGAGATGTAGACTGTCAACACACACTTATTCTGGGAGATCAATAAAGCTTATGGGCTGATTAATTGGTGGAAAATAAATAATTTACAGAACTCTCACTGGAGATTTTAGAACATAAACACTAAACAGTAACATTTTAAACTGTGTCAAATAAATGAAATGCATCCCTGAAAACCAGTATCAGCAAGAGGGAAAGATTGACTATTTTAAACAACCTTGTGTCGGACTAAATATCAACACGATCAGACATTGCAAATTGAGAGATCTAAAAAGAGGGGAATTAGATAGGGGAATTGGGGAGATGTGTGAGTCATTCTAACATCACTGCAGCCGCACCACAGGGCCTCTGTGTTTGTGTGTGTGTTACCTGCAGGGCCTGCTGGAGCAGCTGCACGTCTGTGGTGCCTGTGACCTCCCTCAGCTGGTTCAGTAGAGTCTGCTGATGCTGTCAGGAGACACACAGGTCATCAGAGAGACAGGCAGAGAGAGAGAAGGACATGACAGGACACACATCACTCTCCATCAATTCACTAGCAGAACAACACAATCAGCAAGAGCACAAAATGTCTGACAATCATAATTGAACCAAGCTAGCTAGGCTGCAGAGGGTGATGCATTGCAAGTAGGCTACAATGTTTTACCGAATCCATGCAAGCCTTATCTGGACCACTGACCACTGCTCTCATCACCTGACAGACAGGCTTTAGCTGGTGGAGAGGACGAGACTGCACTGTGCACTCATGTCTGCCCTGCTGTCGCATGTCAACCCCAGCTGGGGTGCAAGGGCTTACCACCACACAATGGCCGTGTCCACTAAACAATGAGCCAGTGCATTACACACCCTGGTCGAGTGCGCTCCAATGCTCCAAACAATGACGGAGAGCACTTACTGTCAGGATCTGAGGCTCAGCCCACTATTCTAGGTCCTAGGATAGCAGCCATAGAGGCTAGTACAGTAAGTACACTGTTACAAGTGGCTGTGTGCTGCAAAGATGCCATCATGGACAGCCCATGTTTACCACAAAATAAATATGGGCGTGTAGTGCTTACTACTGCTCCACTTGTGCCCACTTTCCCACAGCTCCTTTGTGACTACCTCCAGATATTTCACAGGGGGTTAAAATTGAAAGTGTTTCGCCCTGGCTATGACTGGGGCACCTGTGTTTCACAGGGCCATTAGAGAGAGGGAATTCACAGTTCACTTCACACCTCTGTTAGAGTAACTGAAGATAAATAATACACCAACCAACCAAGCCCGCTCTGTCTGTCTCTCCCTCTCTGGCCCGGCTCCCATTCAGGATAGGCGTCAACAATACTAGGCAGTGTTCTTAGGACGGTGAGTCAAACCCAGAAACAGCTACTATGCCAAGTTCTCCCTGACTGAGCCAAACCAACACACTCCTCCCCAGACTGGAATTTAAAAGAACCTCACTATTATTGGGCGTCTCTTAATTCCAAACAGAACATGATCTATCATTTATTGCTTTGCTCTATTAGCTAAGGTCATTTCCATTCAAAAGGACCCATGAGCACCAACATGTGAAGGAGCATGTCAAATTGGGTATAAAATCAAAGCTAAGAGTCTATATATTGCAGAAATTAAGGCATATATACATTTAAACAATTTTCCATCCTAAAAAGATGGAATAAGCAAAGGCTTAGGTTTCTGGTCAAACAGATGGAAAACATCTACCAGGAAAAAGTATTAAAAAGGTATTAGAAATACATCAAAACACAATAATGTTGAAGTAAAGACACCTGCCAACTTATAATCAACACTAGGGATGTTAATGGTTAACTGTTAGTCGGTTACTGGTAGCTGCTGAAAATAAATCTGACCAGTCATGCTTATAAATCTATAGGTTAATTTGCATAATTTTGTGGAATTAAATTGATGTCAGAATTTAACAAAATCGTCAGTCATAAAACAGGAAGCATCTTGGTCGACCGGAATTATTATTTTGCCGAAAATAGTAATGTACATTTAGTTTATGGAGTTAGAAAGTAGCTTTCTTACGTCAACTATATGGCTGTCTAGTCAGTGAGCTGCGAGCAAGCCAGAGCGGAGAGACTTGTTGCTAGGCAACTCAAAAGACAGGCTGCAGGGAGCAATGGAAGAGGGACGAGCAGCACGAAGCAGCTAACATACAACAGCTAAGATAGCAACCAAAAACGTTTCAGCCTTTTCCTCCTGTTCTACTGGTTTTAATATCAACTTTCTTTCGTTGTCCAGAAGCTAAAAGGCATTTTCCCTCTAAATTTCTAACGGAGATGTTAATCTCTGTCACATGAAATGGCTCGCATCAGGTTCATCTTTTAGAACAGCGTTGTCCCGCAAATTGCATTTTGGCAAATGTTTGAAAATTATGTATTTCATTCTCTGCTTCATTACAGTAGTTGCATGTTCAATAACATGACAGGATAGGATTGCTATTGTTTTTTTAAAAGTGGAACTGACAGCGTTTTAACTACTTTGCAGATATATAACAGACCATCATAATCAGTAAAAGAATATATCAAATTCCCAGTTTATGCTACAAAACCAACTTTATAAGAAGTTTTTAAAATAGTGTACGTCATGCAATGTGGAGTCAAATAGAACCTAAGGCATTGTTGGCAGACTAGATGGATGCAGTTCACTGCATGAGTAATATAATTTCACCAATACATTTCTTGGTAGGCCCAAAAATATTGCTATCAGGTTGTAAATCACAGCTGGCCTTGTACATTGTTTGCTGCCTCCATTCAGGATGCACGGTTTCAGTTTCAATGACTAAATATTTTTGACAAAAACAACGAATGTAATCAAGGCTGGGAATGTCAATACAATCAAACTATACTGAACAAAAATATAAAACGCAACATGCAACAATTTCAAAGATTTTACTGAGTTACAGTTCATATAAGGAAATCAGTCAATTGAAATAAATAAATTAGGCCCTAATCTATGGATTTCACATGACTGGGAATACAGATATGCATCTGTTGGTCACAGATACCTTAAAAAAAAAAAGTAGGCGCGTGGATCAGAAAAACCAGTCAGTATCTGGAGTGACCACCATTTCCCTCATGCAGCGCGACATCCCCTTCGCATAGAGTTGATCAGGCTTTTGATTGTGGCCTGTGGAATGTTGTCCCACTCCTCTTCAATGGCTGTGCGAAGTTGCTGGATATTGGCGGAAACTGGAACACGCTGTCGTACACGTCGATCCAGAGCATCCAAAACACACTCAATGTGTGACATGTCTGGTGAGTATGCAGGCCATGGAAGAACTGGGACATGTTCAGCTTCCAGGAATTGTGTATAGACCCTTGTGACGTGGAGCATTGTATTTTCATGCTGAAACATGAGGTGATGGCGGCGAATGAATGGCACGACAATGGGCCTCAGGATCTCGTCATGTATCGCTGCATTCAAATTGCCATCGATAAAATGCAATTGTCTTCGTTGTCCGTAGCTAATGCCTGCCCATACCATAACCCCACCGCCACCATGGGGCACTCTGTTCACAACGTTGACATGAGCAAACCGCTAGCCCACATGACGCCATATCTTGGCAAATGAGAAATGCTCACTAACATGGATGTAAACAAAGGGATGTAAACAAATGTGTGCACAACATTTGAGAGAAATAAGCTTTTTGTGCATATGGAACATTTCTGGGATATTTTATTGCAGCTCATGAAACATGGCACCAACACTTTATATATTGCGTTTATATTTTTGTTCAGTATAGCAAGGGCAATGATCAAAAGTCAGTCATAATGTGGCTAATAGGCTAGCGTATCTATTTATGTAGCAAGCTAAAAACACAGAGCCTAACGTTGCAAAGTATGTGGACACCTGCTCATCAAAGATCGTATTCCAAAATCATGGGAATTAAAATGGAGTTGGTCCCTCCTTTGCTGCTATAACAGCTTCCACTCGTCTGGGAAGGCTTTCCGCTAGATGTTGGAACATTGCTGCAGGGACTTACTACCATTTAGCCACAAGAGCATTAGTGAGGTCAGGGTTCTGTGCAGGTCAGGGCTCTGTGCAGGCCAGGGAAGTTCTTCCACACAGATCTCAATAAACCATTTCTGTATGGACCTCGCTTTGTCCACAGGGGCATTGTCATGCTGAAACAGGAAAAGGGCCTTCCCAAACTAATGCCACATCTGGAAGCACAAAATCGTCTAGAATGTAATTATATGGTGTAACGTTAAGATTTCCCTTCACTGGAACAAAGGGGCCTAGCTGAACCATGAAAAACAGTCCCAGACCATTATTCCTCCTCCACCAAACTTTACGGTTGGAGCTATGCATTCGGGCAGGTAGCGTTGTCCTGGCCTCCGCCAAACCCAGATTCGTCCGTCGGACTGCCTGATGGTGAAGCGTGATTCATCACTCCAGAGAACGAGTTTCCACTGCTCCAGAGTCCAATGGCGGCAAGCTTTACACCACTCCAGCCGACGCTTGGCATTGCACATGGTGATCTTAGGCTTGTGTGTGGCTGCTTGGCCATGGAAACCCATTTCATGAAGCTCCTGATGAACAGTTATTGTGCTGACGTTGCTTCCAGAGGCAGTTTGGAACTCTGTAGTGAGTGTTGCAACCAAGGACAGACGATTTCTACACGCAAAGCGCTTCAGCACTCGGCGATCCCGTTCTGTGAGCTTGTGTGGCCTACCACTTTGCGGCTGAGCCGTTGTTGCTCCTAGACGTTTCCACTTCACAATAACAGCACTTACAGTTGACCGGGGCAGCTCTAGCAGGGCAGAAATTTGACGAACTGACTTGTTGGAAAGGTGGCATCTGAGCACTTCGGTACGGGCCATTCTACTGCCAATGTTTGTCTATGGAGATTGCATGGCTGGGTGCTCGATTTTATACACCAGTCAGCAACGGGTGTGGCTGAAATAGCCAAATTCACTAATTTGAAGGGGTGTCCACGTACTTTTGCCATGTAGTGTAGATGGCTAGCTGCTAGGAGGATGTCATGTAAAGTCATTGGAGGAGTGGGTGAGTGACTGACTTTTTCCCCCTCATATCGTTTTTCGGTGGCTATACACATCTAGAGATGCAGGTGTCATTTGGTTAGCTAACAAGAACGACTGTTATCCAGTTAGCATCTCTTCCGTTCGAAAATTCACTCTTGCTATCGACTCCGATTTCAGAGAGCAGAATAACGGATGAATTTACGAATGCACAACACCCGCTAGATATGACCTGTGTCAGTAAACGTAGGCAAAATAAATGTAATAGTTAGTCACGAATGCTCTAGATAACATGTAAACAGCCTAACCAACTCTGCTATGGCGAGTAAAATGGTCAGAGTGAGATGTTCTCTCATTTGTGTCTTGAAGTAGCTAGCTAGCAAGCTAGCCAACTTTATCCAGTTAGCTTGGGTGCTTGGTTGGGACAAGAATTCATGCATTGGCAGGCAAGCTGCAGAAGGACGAGTT